TCTCTGACTGTGAAATCTGTAAAAAAAATGAAAATTATAGGTATAGAGGTACCGCACCGAATACGGTCGACAAGTAAGTATGAATGAAAATTGAAGTGTAGTCAACCTTTTTTGGAAAACTTACCAAAAACTGTGACAGGACAAGTTAAAGGGATGCTCGTAGAGTGGCGAAAATTATCGGTGACGGTTAAATCTGTAAAAATAATTAAAATTATACGTATAAAGGTACCGCACGGAATACGTTCAAGAAAAGGTATGCATAAAAATGGAACGTTGGTCAAACTTTTTGGAAACACTTACCCGAAATTGTGGCAAGACAACTAAAAGAGAGGGTCGTAGGGGAGCGGCGATGATAGGTGACTGTGAAATCTGTAAAAATAATGAAAATTGTAGTTATAAAGGTACAGAATAGTTGTAGAAAAAATATGCATAAATATTGGACATTAGTGAAGCTTTCTACCAAGACAACTGAAGGAGGGGCTCGTAATAGGGGGATAGTGATCATCGGTTACTGTGAATGCTGTGAAAATAATTAAAATTATCTTGTTGTGTTCATAATTATTACTACTGCAGAGGTAATCATAAGTAAACTATCAAGCGAAGGGAATGCAATTTTCTTAATTCAGTATAAATGACTTAATAGTACATTATTATACACTGCAATGATACAGTATGTTGTGGGTATTTTGGGGATACGAATAAATTGTTTCTCTACAAAACTAAACATACAATTAAATGTAGAAAACAATTACACCCTCCGGGTCAACAAATTTATTCCTAATGATACGATTTTCACTTTACTAAATACAATGTCGTTTATTCAATACCACTATGATGGTATTATACTATTTGAAACATTAGTATTTTCCAAAGAGAGGACGAAATGTTTGTATATTACAAGGAATACAATAATCATGAGTAAAGACCAAGGAACAAAATCGTTCTTATTACATTGATAAACGAAACAGTTCGAAATATTGGAAACATATATTTGTATGTCAAATCTTTCGTTCTGTTAAGAATCAACACATGTCTGTAACGTCTTAAAATTGTTTTAAACGGTTTGTTTGTATCATGGCGTGCTGACGTAAAATTCTTCAGTAAGGGCACTTAATTAAAGTTACGGAAATAATCTGTTCTGTAACAGAATAGTTTTCAGAAATTGCCACATGATGTGTGATAGGAATATGTAAACGATGCCGCAACTATTAATTAAGACATCTAATGTAAACAACATGCAATTTATTTAGTTATTTAAACCAGTAAAAACAATTTACATAGATGTAAATCCCACACAGGTAATCGCAGTTAGCTGTTTTGAAATTGTTTTTTAATTGATTCAACTTCAACATCCATATAGCCATCAACTTCAATATACATATAGCAATTATCTGCGATATTTCGCACAAAGGCCATGTAAGGTGTGTTTGTAAGTTATATCCAAATTTTTACATACGTATAACACACACACATACACTTTCATCCAATTAAAAAACAAAGATGTGAGATAATTGTAACCATACATAATTACAAGAGAACACATTCGGAAACATTATGTTAGTATTTTATGCGATTATCTGCAAATAATATCAATACTTTGCAGTAGAAATAACGCACTGACTTTTTAAAACAAACAAATGCGTAACGCAACTGTGCAATAAATAGTACGTTTTGTAAAGTGACAGAGAAACATATACATTACAGTGATCGGTAAAAATTGCATTTGTTCCGACTTAAAAGCTTCATTTTGATGGAACGCGAAGGAAGAAAGAAAATTGCGCTACAAATAACAAGACAAGGAAGACGATTGAAGTTAACTTTTCTGTAAAATCATGTTTTTGTGGAAATTTCCCATTAAATATGCCATAGTTATAATTCTTTGCCAATTGGATTTTATAAACAATAATGTATTATTATTATCCTCATTTTAATCAGTAAACTTTAACTAATTTTCCAACTAAAATCCCTATCCCTATGTTAGCGTACTTCATTAGGTGTATATTACACAAACAAGTGTACAATCATGGAAAGAAAATTATTGAATATTTATATTTATAATTTCGTCATTTGCATATTTACGAATGTTGTTTTCTATATTGTAATTATTTCTGCAACAAAATTAGAAATGTAATTCATTTACAGGATGTATGTCAACAGTACACGAAAACTTTCTTTCGGTACGGTGTTATTTGTACTTTGTCAAGTTACCGGATTAGTAGTTTGCATGAGGAGATTATTCACTCTTTTTTTGTCAAGTGAATTTAATGAAACTTCATTTTGCAAGCACATGTCATTTAGTTCCATTGTATAATTGAGTACAAGAAAAATAAATCACTGTCGACCAATCAGTTATGTACGTATAATTTTCTTTCTTTCAAATCCAAGTTCAAATTCGCACTACAACGGAAGCAAGGTCACGCGCAAGCGAAACGAAATGTACATGTCGGTACTTCATAAATAAATAAACTGCTTCCGATAACGATGTCTATTTTGTAGAATGTAGATTATACTATTAATACCTACCACAGTCAAAACATTCGTTAAGTTATTAGTCGTTATTGAAATACTTTTCCTTATTCAATTTAGCATTACACATACGCCATATATTGTTATTATAATATACAAACACATCATACGTGTATGTTGGACATCTCATACAAAAAACAAAACTATTTCAATTTTTCTTCAATGAACAACGTTTCTGATAAAAGCATAATACCAACAAATATAGCATAAGTCTAAATTGCATTTTACGCTTTTTCGACAAGGCAATTACAATTTTTTCAATTACTGTTGAACCGTACAATTTATGTACTACTTCTTTTCTTCTCATGTAATTAGATGTTAAAACAATATTCATTTCTTCCTTTTCATATTCGACTGTTACAGAAAATATTGAATGCAACTTTTACTGGTGTTTCGATAACTTCCATTTTGTCAACAATTGTAGTGTACATATTTAAAAGAAACTCGTATATCAATAACAATTGCTAGATTGGAGCATTTACCTAACAAGTATGAGTTCAATTCTACTTTGCAGTATAAGATATTAACAATGTTCCATCAGCCTTCCTTCTGACTTTGCCCATTTTATGTTTATAATGCAAAAAATGTATGAGACTACTAACACATTTTTCTCGGTATCGTCTATCGAGTTGTACCGATTTTGTTTTATTTTTTTCTTTAGAAATGACCTTAACATAAGAAACGAAAGTGCCCGCTTATTTACTTTTGCATAACTTCATTTTGTTCATAAACACACTTTTAATAAGATAACAGCATAATAGGTACCTATACATATGTGATATTATGTGATTTATTTGTTTTCGGGTAATTATCAGGTAGCTTTATCTGTTATCGTTTTTAAGTTTTTAAAGAGATACCTAGGTACCTCATCGAAAATTTGAAAGGTGCCAAACAAATAAAGTTGGCGAATCTTTAGAAAAAACATATACATTTCAACGTTGCCGAAGCAGGCCTTTTATCTTTATCTTTTCATATATGTACACACATGCACTTGTAGGTACAGTACGTATGTATATATGTATGTATATATTATATGCATAATATTTTTTTACTGTATTTGCTCCTCACGTAAACAGTATTCTGTACTTCCACCGTCCTTACTTTTTGTAAATGGACAACACGTTTGTCTATTTTTTCACATATTCTACCACTATTTATGCATGCACCACTTGTTCATAACATTTCATTTTTTGTACTTCTTTACTTACCTTTTTCAAAAATTCTTTCCTGCTTTCTTCTTATGAATGACAAATGATAACAACCAACTTTACATTTTCATATTTTTCAAATACTCTCATTGATAACTACAGACAATTTCTATTTTTCTCTTTACGCGCTTCGCGGTCACGGACGCGACATTTGAACGTTTACACGTGGTATTTCCCGATTTCTTCTCCAATGAAAAGCATTACAAATAAGTATTATTATCGTTACCAATTTTAATAAAAAAATTTTTTGAACGTAGACAACCCTAATCACTGCAGTGCAAATAAAAATAATGATAATATTTTTTATGATCGTAATGCTGTTTTTCATATGCAACCCATTTTACAAAATCTTTAACCGCTGCAACACCGCCATCTGCCAGGTGTAGTCACTACTATTTTGACAGGAGGAGTTAACACCGCATGATACGGATAATAAGACATATTCACGCACAAGCACGAGAGTCAAAAGTATGACCAGCCCCCCTAGCGTCTTGCAGCCATAGATAACAAAACGAGTAACAACCATAGATTATGGAAATATATACTATCGTATCTATGATGAGCAAGAAATAAATTTAAAGGGCAAGTAAATACAGTAAATTATGTTTTTACAAGAAAAAAACTGTATAGCAATAAAAAGTGAATTATTTGAAGATAATTACAATATTGACGGAATGTGTTGTTATTCTGATAAAGAAAGTGATAGAAAAAACGAGCTTTTAAATGTAGGCATTATAAAAGAAGTTAATATAAAAAAGGAAGTAGAAGATAATACATTTATAAGTGAAATTGAGTTTGTTGACCGAATGGTGCATTTTGCTCATGAAGATAATAGAAAAACCGAACTTTTACAAGCAGATGATATAATAAAAGAAACTATTTTTTTAAAAAAGGAAGTACTAGATAATACATTTGAAAGTAAAATCGAGCTTAATGTTAATAACAAACCTCAGCTGTTGAAATGTGAAATTTGCGGACAGAGATGTAAGAAAAAGTAAGTAATTATCAATACTTTTGTGTAATCAGTTAGCAGTAGAACACTGACGGTTCATTAGTATTACCAAAGTGTTGATACTCTGTAAAATATAGCCTCTGCTTAGCGGAGAACTAAGAGACTTATGTTATGTATGGAATAAATCATCGATATACGTTATTAGAGGGATAATGGTGCAAATTTGATGAAATATTCTAACTATTAAACAAGATAACACGTTTCACTTTCAACATAAATTTATTTGAACTCCAAAAATGGAATTATTGGTGATAAAGATCTACTGGTCAAAATGAATTGGTCAAGTTCAAATAAAAATTGTTTGAAACTTTTTGTTTTACTTATATAGATTCTTGAATATCATTATTATTTCATATTGTTAGTTTAATTTTACTTTATTCATTTTCAGAAGTGATTTGATGCGTCATGAGATGGTACATACAGGTGAACGTCCATTTGAATGTCCAATTTGCGGCAAACGTTTCATTAGAAAGTCGCACATTAGCAGTCATGAACGCGTTCATACCGGAGAAAAACCATACAAGTGTCAAGTGTGTCAGAAAAGGTTTCCCAAAAAAAATAATGTCAATGTACATATGCGCGTTCATACGGGAGAAAAACCATTCAAATGTGAAACATGTGAACAGAGATTTACTGAAAAGTAAGTAACTATTGTTCTACGCATCCAAATATGATTGTTTTTCAACCTGACTTTATGCCCCCTTATTTAATATTTTTTAAGAAGTAATTTCTCAAAAATAGTGCTATTTTTTTATTTAATTTGTGAAATAAACAACAGACATTGCTGTTTTAACATGATAATATATATGTAATTACACAAATGATGCTATGCATGCAATTAATTAAAGCAATTCACGTTTTAATTTTCATAACTCTTGAAGAAGTATAAATTAAATTCATATTGGGGAATAATTTTTTTTTCAATAATATCATTTACTCATGCTTAAAGATAGCATTTTCCCAGTATTTTTCCTTAAAAGCTAATAATAAATTGGAAAATGCACCTAAAGTTTCCCGCGAATCGAAACCATTTGATAAGTGGCGTCATCTAGCATCATTTTGCTAGGAATAATTTTATTTATGTAATTTTCAGAAGTGGTTTGAGGCGTCATGAAATGTTGCATACTGGCGAACGTCCGTTTGAATGTTCCGTTTGTGGCAAACGTTTCGTCAAAAACTCGAATTTGACTAGTCACGTTCGTGTCCATACCGGAGAGAAACCGTACGAGTGTCAAGTATGTCAGAAAAAGTTTGCCGAAAAATACTGTCTCGATGGACATATGCGCATTCATACGGGGGAAAAACCATACGAATGTAAAATTTGTTTGCGTAGATTTTCGCATAGATCTTCTCTTAAAAAGCACATGCTCACACATACATAAAACCAGGGACAAACGCAGATGTTAAGCAAAAGTATGCATTTTTAGATAATAATAGAAACATTTTTCTAATTATTTAAGTTGCACTACAACAGTTCTGAACTAAATAGGGAAAATACTGCGACACCCAGTAGTAAAACGTTAAAGTACAATTGTTATTTTAGGAGCACTAAAAAAAAACCGAAATAGTATATATACAATAAGTGATGATATAAAATTGTATTCTTTTAATTTCATTAAGAAAATATAAATAAAATTTCGACTGATAAACGTGTTGGCGTATATTTATGTTTGTCCCTCCCTAACTGTATGTTAGCGTTTTACGTTGAAATTCTCACAGATAAGAGAGTGAAACCGGTGTTCGCGTTTTCTAAATTTGTTGTGAATTTGGATAAAGCGAATGATCCAAAAGTCACTTTTTAGTTAATGATAGAAGAAGAAGGCAATGGAATTAACTTTTTAAAGACTACGATTCTATAAAATTTTGTCCCACTTTATTAAGCAGTTTAAATGATATGAATGAAATAAACACAGTCGGATCGCTCCTTTAAAAAATTAGAAACCCGGTTGAGCCATGCAGGAGATACTTCTCTTTTCTGACATCTATGGTGGTGTCGCCATTACTCATAGATCTATTATGTTTTTTTTAACCATAGACATATATTAATGGACGTGCCTTAGCCGTATGTCCTTGTAATAATTTTTTGGCTCGAAAAGTGAGGAGATGGCGTATGGTTTCGGACCAGTGCTATCTCTTTCATGACACGCTTACGCACTATCGTGAGAGAGATGGATATTGTCCGAAACTTCAATCCATCTCTTTCTTTTGTTGTACCACAATTCTGACCGCTAAGGCATGTCCATTAGTAAACGTCAATGGATTACACATTTAAACTATGGAATTTAAACACAACAGGTTTCAGTGTTACAGTTTAAATAAATTATTTATGCTGTAGTTTTTATGACATTATAGAGCACACCACACAGAGCTCTATGAAAACATAACGTAAATAGTGCTAATTTGTTGATCGTTTACGAAAAAAGCTGTTAGATTTTGAAAATAATGTAGTGCCTTATCAAAATAATTAATTGTGGTATTTTATGAAACATGAGTTTTTTATCAGAAGTTTTGTCAGCTGCTGAAAAGACAGAAATTGAGATTATTAAAACTAAAATACCGGAGTTATCACAAGAAATAACTGATTTAAAAAGTGAAATATGGCATTACATGAATAATGTATATAACAAATTTAACGAGCGACCTCAGAAAAATAACATTTTATTGAAGAAGGCAACAACACTTTCTGAAGACTTGGACGTTTTAAGAAATACTATTGAAGAACATCTCAGAAAGGACATTCCAAAAATAGAAAACGATTTAAGCACATTATCATTAGAAATAGAGGAAGCTGATATAATCCTTTCAGCTGTTTCAAAATTTGTTGTTCTTCATGATCGTTTAATGAACATCAGAAATTTTCAAGAGCAAAAACAATATATTGAATGTGTGAAAGAAATTCAATCCGCTTACTCTGAAATAAATGAATTGGAGGTGGAAGAAGAAGTAAAGAGAGTGACCACAAATATAAGAAGAGATTTATTGTCAGAGAGGACCCTGGTATGTGAAGCATTGGATATTATATTTGGTGATAATATATTACTTAATAGTAGTTGTGTAGGTTCAAAAACAGAAAATACCATAAGGATTAATTATGAAAATAATACCTTTAAAGATGCTTTGGTTGCTTTTCACATGTTAGATAGTAAAATTTTTTTATTGCAACAAATATCTAATTTCCTTATCAACGAAGTTTGCTTACCTATATTACAAAATGTTGTATTTATTAATATAGTAGATGATCAAAAAAGCTACTCTTTTGTGTTGACATATACAGCAAGTACAGAAGTACCAAAATACCAAGACATTTTTTCACATTTATTGAAAGTATTTCAATATTTGCATACTCATTTTAATTATCACCTGACTGGAGATTATTCAACTTTGCTTTATGTGGTAAATGAAATTAAAAGTTCATTGGTGGAGTCAGTGATAAAATATTGTTTATTGAGTACAGTTCCTTCAAATGAAGTAGAATTGGAGAAGTATGATGAAATTCTTACTGATATTTCAAAGTTTGAAAGCCAGTTACACAAATACTCTGTATTTGAAGAAAAAGAAAGTCCTTTTACTGATTACATGAAAGATATTGATAAATTATATGTGAACAAAAAATGTCAGGAGTATACAGAAATAGCAATTAAATTAATGAAGAAAGATCTTCATGAAATGGTAGAAACTGGAATATTAATTAAAAACAAACCATTATTAGAAGATGCACATGATTTTCCAAAATGTTCTGTTTCTAAAAGTGTGCTAGAGCTGTTAAAATTAATTGAAAACATGCTTCAAAAAGCAATGGAAAGCCCTGAAGTGTGTGCAAAACGAATTGTAAGTGCAACACAAAACATATTAAACATGTATGGCAGTGTGGTATCTGAAAATCACCAAAAAATGCTTCAAACTATTCCACAACAAGTTGCTCTGTTTAAAAACAACTGTTGGCATCTCGCTTATAAATTGGACAGTTGGAACGAATTGTACAATAAAAAAATTAAGTTTATCAACGATGCCACTCTATTTAAAGATCAATCTCACCAACTACGCTGTTTCGGAGCGGATGTATTTCGACACTATGTACAAGGCCAAGTGCAGCAGATCGAAGAAATACTTAAAAATTCGAGTCTAGGCGAATTGCAAACTTTGAGTAATTCAAACAATAATATTGAAAAGGCTGTACGTCAGTGCATTAGACAACAGGAGCTTCTTCGAACTGTTTGGCATAAGGTTTTATCATACAATGACTACAACGAAACACTTGGTTACATTTTTAACTCTTTTTGCACAAAACTCATGGAATTTGTGCTTTTGGTTGAAGACTTATCATCGGATATTGCTGAACAGTTAGCTGACACCTTTAAAATTGTACAGACCCGAGGTCCAAAGTTATTTACAGAACCAAAAGAAATTAATATGTATGTTGAAGTTTGGTATAGGTTTAATGAACTTGTTTTTATGTTGAATGCTAGTCTTGTTGAAATAAATGACAGGTGGGCGGACGGTAAAGGACCTTTGGCGTTAGTTATGAAACCGGAAGAAGTTAAACGTCTCGTTAGGGCTCTTTTTCAAAACACAGATCGCAGAGCTGCACTTCTTGCTAAGATCAGTTAGCATTGTAAATGTTTTAATTTACTTCCACATTTATAAATGAATTATCATCATACATGTATTATGACCGAGGGCGTTAGCGCCGCTAAATAAATTTTAAATTTGAAAAGTACTCAATCTAATTTTTTGTAACAAAAATCTTATACTTATTACATATTAAACCTTTGAATAGCTTGCATTTTAGTAAAATATACTTTTTATTCAATTAAAACAAAAAATGGAAAAAAAAAATTATTTTACTTTACAACTTTTGTTATCTTTCTTAAATTCGTCTTTTCTTTTACTTACCTTTTTTGTTTTCTTAGAAAATTTCATCATATCCCTAATCTTTTTCTTTCTTCTTAGTATTTGCTCGTCTCTTTCTATAATTTTCCTTTGCTTTAATTGTAAATCGTTTTGCATTCGCCTCCTAAAACACACAAAAAAAAAATAATTTGTTATATTATTTCGTTGTTTATTAATACCTTCTTTTCGCTCTTCTCTGCAGCTCATATTCTGGTATAGTTGTAATATCTTCACGAAGAGGTGCACTAGAAAGCATTTTCTTTTTTTCTTTTTTTGATTGCTTTTTCATTGTTAACATGTAAGCTGGAACTTCACAACCTGATTGCTTCATTATGTGTGCAATACTAAAAAGAACATGTTTTAAATTGTATTATGTATATCAATAGTAGCAGCTGCTTCTTATAAAGTGTTGCAACAGTTTATGAGTAAAAATTTACTAGTGAAAATAAAATTTCTTTTTTTTTTGCACATAATCTAGGACATTTTTTAACATTTAAGCATTAGAATTAGTAATATATACCAATAAAGACAGTCTTTCACTATCTAATGAGCATTTGCTGAATTTATACGGCTTTATTAGTATAGACTTGCTCAAAAACTACGAACTCTAGTTTCTGTTTCTGAAACCTTTTTTATAAACCTACAACTTACCTTCGTAAATTGACGGTATCGTCTATGGTGAAAAATGTTATGGCTTTTCCTTTTCGACCGGCACGACCTGCTCTACCTATACGATGAACGTATGAAATTGCAGAAGGGGGGAAGTCATAGTTTATTACCAGGTTCACTCCCTTGAAATCTATACCTCTAGCCATTAATTCAGTACAAATTAATACCCAGATTTTTCCTTCACGGAAACATCTTACAGTATTATCCCTCTAAAAAAATTAGTACAATAGCATGTAAAATAAATATTTAATCAGTAAATAAGAATTAATATGGTTAACATATTAATAGCCTTTGGACAATTACAAATTCTATATATGGTACATGCATTTGTGACGCAAGGAATTGCAATTAAGAATGTATATGCTCTGTTACAGAGGGCGAAATGGCGGTGTGACTTTTACAATCACTTAACTTTATAACCCTTATATCTGTTTGATTTCTACATATAAACAAATTTTCTTTTAATTAAAGAAGCTAAATATTTTTCAAACCTGCGTTTGAGTTCTATCAGCATGAATAGCATCAACATTGATTCCATCATAAATAAGTTCAGAAAAGAGTTGTTGGGCTCTGTCTTTGCTTTGAACAAAAACTAGAACTGGTGGAGTGAGGCCTTTTCTTATCAAGTCTCTAAATGCTAACAATTTTCCAGATTCAGATCCAACAAAAAGCAATTCTTGTTCTACTGTGTCAGTTGCAGCATTTCTGTAATTTTTGTATTACAGCAAGTAACAATTCAAGAAAGTAATGTATAAGTACCTTTGTCCAACAGTAATTCTAACTAGACCTTTCATATTGTGGACACACCATTTTGCAATTACGGGAGTGTGAGTAGCACTGAACATTGCAATTTTTCTACGTCCATTATTGCATGCTACCAGTATTTGTTCCAATTGTTTTCGGAAACTATGTATTCCAGATTCAAATAATTTATCTGCTTCATCTATAATTAACCATTCCACACTGAAAAATGATAAAATAAAGTACATTTGTAACGTTAGTTCATACAAAAAATTGTTTAGAACTGGTATTCGAATTTTTTGACGTATGATTAAAAAAAAAGTAAAACAGAATAAATATTCATTTACAAGTCAAACAAAATAAACCGTGTATTTTTATTTCTTAAATATTATATTTTTTCCAAAGATGAATGATCTAAAAATTGGTGTATGGTAGCTAGAAGTAATTCTAATAAAAGTTCAAGTTAGTTAAAAAATGAATTAGGGCAATACAATATTGCTGTTTTAAAATGAATTAGATTACTTAAATGAGACTTAAAAACAGATATACACGCTGTAAAATTATAAAAAAGTTTAGTAGAAGCAATTTTTGTTTTAATTTTAGGTGAATGAATTGATGNAGAAGTAATTCTAATAAAAGTTCAAGTTAGTTAAAAAATGAATTAGGGCAATACAATATTGCTGTTTTAAAATGAATTAGATTACTTAAATGAGACTTAAAAACAGATATACACGCTGTAAAATTATAAAAAAGTTTAGTAGAAGCAATTTTTGTTTTAATTTTAGGTGAATGAATTGATGACTGAGCAATATAATGGTTAGTTTCATTTAACATGTAAAGGAAAACTTATGCCAAGATTTATCAAAATGACCATGTATATGACTTTATAATCACATAATATAATACATAAAAAACTCCAACAATTATGAATACATACTTTTCCAGTGAAATGGGGGGTTCTTGTTTTAATAAATAGCACAATCTATTCGGCGTCGTTACCAGTATATCTAAAAGTAGGTATGATTTTATTGCAGGTTTGTTAAGATTTAATTATTTAATATTTTATTGAAAATAATTACCAAATTTTTTGGAGCTGTTAGGACCAAATTGCTCTACAGCTTTACTAATTTTATTAATAACATGAATACGTAGACCTCTCCCTTCTGCAAGTCTCTCACATTCTCTTTGTGTTTGCTTGGCTAATTCTCTGGTAGGGCAAACTATTACTGTTCTGAAACCTTTCTTTTGAGGGCCCTGCAGTTGATATATTATTGGCAATAGAAATGCAGCAGTCTTGCCAGAACCTGTGGGTGCACAAGCTAGTACTTGGCGATTCTGTAAATTAAATTGAATACATTCTCTACTTATAACATGTTTAACGTAAATAATATACTCACTTCCATCATAGTAGGAATTGTTTGCATCTGAATAGGAGTTGGTGTGTAATATCCACATGTTTTAATATTATCTTTCAAGTCTTGTTTGATTGGGATATCATCAAAAGAAATTATGGGATTTGGAATATTTTTCCCAACAACATTAATGTTGTGGAGATTACGAAAATGATTTACCTACAATACAATTTCTAATAACAAAGTCAATACACCATTAAAACTGAATGGGATAATAAAACTAACTTTTTCTTGTTCAAGAAGTACTCGCTTTTGTTCATCATTTTTACCATTTGCCAGTTTTCTTTTCTTTGATTTTTTTCCGGTCTCGTCGGCCTTCATGTTTCCAAGTAATGTTATTTCGTAACCAGCCAATTGATCATGCTCTTCAAAATTTTCATTAACTTGTTCCATTTTAACTTCTTGAAGTTTGTTTTCAGCTATATTCGTGTTTGGTAATTTATTTAGTTTATCTGCATCAGAGTTAATCAGCTAGAAAATATATATTTTTTTAAATAGAAGAAGTTTAAACCTAAAATTTGAAAAACTTACTAGAATGTTCCGTTTTTCTTTCCTCTTAAATTTTGCTCCTCTTGATAATTTTTTAAATATATCGTAAGTATCCATTTCGTTTTAATAAAAGCACTTTTGTTAAACGTTCAATTGCTTTTAATTTTATTTGGTAATAAACATAAAATGATGTTTAAATTAGGTTAATGTAATTATAACCTAACTTAAATAATGCTGTCTACATAGACAAAACCGTAAGCATAGAGGTAGAGGAAATGTAACTAGTATCTGCGTCGTAATAAAATTACATAAAATTAGAAATTATGTAATATATAGTTAAAATCGCTACGATTTATCAGAAACAAACTTTCAGGTTTGTTTTTTTTTCATTGTAGCTAATCAGACATCTCAAGTAAAATCAGTAAGAATAGACAGACTTATACAACTAAAGTATAAGAAAAAAAGGTAATAGCGCTTCAGAACAAGACAAAATTTTCTTTAGTTTCTAGTTTTACTACTTCAGGAATTTTCTACAATAATTCTATTTATGTGAAGTTTTTAATAAATAAAATTTATAAATGCTAACTTTAAAAGATAAATTAAAAGAAAGCATTGGTACTGATACTTATATGTAATATTTATTTGGTCATTTGACTATTTCTAGAAAAAAAAAACTATTTATAATATGTTCACAATATTACGAAATTTATATATGTAGTACCTATTTCCAAAATACAACAACTTAGCCAACTTTTGTACAACGTAAATAAATAATAAATATTCAAACCGAAAACAAATAAACAATAGACAATAACATACCTTTTACGCAACAAAAATAAATAAATATTGACAATTATAATGATAACAAATTATTAATAAATATAAAAGCATTTACATTAAGAAAATAAATACACATTTAAATATTATCCACTAAAGGTATCCATTAGGTAACTTACTTCTACATATTAATAAATAAATTAATTGTAACTGAAGAAATTTCATATAATTTTCGAAAAGTAATTAAAATGGAGTAGGGAAAAGAAAGGAATTGCTTGTGATCCATATTGTTTATCATCCTTAAATAACTAAACGATATAAAAAACTTGTTTTACATTAATTTTAAGTTGAAAATTTACGGTAATAGCAAGTGTGCTTTTTGGCTAATAAGGCTACCAAAAATAACATTTTATGTAGATATACATACTGAGTTTTTTGTGTAGTTATTTATTGATTAAAATGCCGACAATTAACGGCAAATATTATTTAGATGTGTGTCACCTACATTTTCATTAATCAAATTTCTAGTTAATGTATGATACTGTCTTTGAGAATGAATTCTTTATTTGAAAAGTTTTCACCATATGGAGATAGCAACTATGATATTAACCATGAAAAATATACCGTACTATATTTTTTTTTGTAATAATCATTGGGATTAGAAAAAATCAGTAAATTATCAATATTTTCAATATGATTGTAATAATTGTGCATTTTAATGCAAGCAGACCTGATACGTGAATGTAGGATGCATACTAACTGTTGGTGTATATTTTGAAAAGAGAATGTCATCTTGTAGTAAAGAAAGTTACATATTTCGTAAATTTCAAGTATATAAATATGGAATTATCAATATAATAATTATCAACATATAACGGAAGGTACTTACGTAAGGATAATAAAAAAATAATAAATAAATCGCAGAAATTTCAGACCGATCATATAATCGCCATTTTGGATTCGCCATTTTGCATTTTTTAAATATCATCAAATTCGACATTATCATTATCAGCAAAACCCTAATAAATCAATATCTTCAATTAATTTTGTAATATTTTACAATAGAATCGATCATTCTAAATACGCCACTTTGAATTTCTAAAATTTGACATAAGATTTGTATTAAGCACATTTGAAACGTCTTAGAAAGTATTTTTCTTATTGTTTCACCGACTCGACCGATATTCGAGGTATTTAATTTTATGGGCATCATGTAATGTAAAATATCAGAAGAAAACGGTTATATTATGAGTTTCATTATGTGGAATGGAATCAATGTAAAAATAAATACCTACCTTTGGGATAGCTACTTTAGCCGTTTATTAGATTTGTCACTCATTAACCCTTAAAATTACTTAAAGTGGGAAAAGAAATTGTGCAAAATTGCAGATGACAAAATCGACAAGCGATTGAAAACTTATAGAATTGTATAGAAAAAGTCTATTTACTTTATTCAGAATGAAAAAACAAAAAATATACCTATGTATAACATTAAAAGTTGCATACGAAGAACAATTTTAAATTGATTTTTAGCGCTGTCAACAATATGTTTACCGAAATCTAAAAAATAGGTGAAATTGCTTAATAAGCAATTTATTAACCTGCTTAACAAGATTAATATGGTTAGATTTGCGGATGAGATAGCATCTGGTATTAATATCTAATATTGGAACAAACTGTGAAATCTGGTGGCAGGAAAACGAATTAAGGCGACGGCAGCAGCAGAGACACTTAGTGTCGGGAAGACAAACTATGATATACGGCTGAAGAGGGAACCTATAGCGGTGACATAGATGTCTGTTAATAAGAATGTAGATATGACATCTAGCGACTGAAAGACGAACTATAGTGGCGAGCGTAGGGACATCTGCTGACGAATGAGTAAACTGTGATACCTGCGTTTAGGGGACCGAGTTACAAGGTTTCCAAGGCTACAAGGGAGGAGGGGGTAAAATCGGACAAAAGAAGTGCAACATGAATCTCAATAAGAAAATACATGAGGTTTTAAGCTGTAGCTGACATTACTTATCTGTACTAAAGCAGCACGGGTTAAAATTGTCGATATTATTCAAATTTTGCAAAACTTCTTTTCCACTTTGAAGAAGTTTGGGCAGATGGTAAACAAGTTCGCAACATGCTTAATTAACGACCATCTTAAATCGAAACTCCGTGCTAATTAATGCTGAGTAATTGATTAAAGTCAACTATCATAATAAACTGGTGTGGAAGGCATCCGTACTTCCGATGCTTCGCACTCTCCTATGCTGTCTTCTTTCTGGTAAAGTGCCACTGCTGTCGATGAGACTTTTTACTTTAATATTTTCGCTCCTATTTTCTCCTCCGAATGTTCGCATGTTCGTTACTTCACGAATCGGCTGATAAATGACTCCGTACGTGGTGTTTGATGGTTGCTGTGGGTTATTAGGAGCAATGTTGTGCGCGAACGGAATAGCATATATCGGCGATTCGTCTCCTGAATGAAATGATCTCACCGACCGAGGCGGTGGACTTATGTGGCTTATAACTGATGAACTGCCCGAACTGGATGTGGGAGAATGCTTGTCACATTCTTTTTCAGATTTGGCCTTCGTAAGTCCTAAAGCGCGACTCAACGAACCCTAGAAAATTTAAATAAGACCTTGGTTAAGAGCATCTGAAAAAATTTACGAACTTATTCTCCTTTTTCGCAACCAAATGAGATAAACGGAATTCGGTCGTCCTTCAGTCAGTTTTGTTAACAATATCTCATACTTTAAATGTTTCTATTACTGCCTGTGGAAATTTGCATATAGAAAGGCAAAAAAATTGCGAACACATCGCCTGATAACATAATAAATTCTCTTATTATTGAAGCCTATCAAAACTTATTCCCTTGTGCGGAATTAGTTCCTCATATTGTTTTTCCCAGCTGCTGGTCTACTATCCAAAGTAAACACAACACAAAAAAACTTTGCTGCTTCTTCATTGTTTGTGTAACTGTTTTAGTAATTTTCTTCTTCTAACTTTGGCGAACTAATTTTTAATTCAAGTTGGCATACGTACGTTGAATTATTTGAAACCAAAGCGGGTTAACACCAGAGATTAAGAAGATTTCACATATTATGGTTAATTATATTAATGTTTGTCAGAATTGTGCACACACTTTAGTGTTTCAGACACGATGCATTCTATTAAGATTAAATTGTTATGGGGCTTGAATGTATTTTCGAGAACTGGTTATCAACTTTTTTTACACAAGGTACGGAGTATGAGTGATCTAATTTTAAATTAATTTTACCCACCACAGATAACCTCAAATTAATGAGGAAAAATAGAGTACTGGTGCCTAAAACCAGGGGTCCAGGTTGCACCCCCAGCAAGAAAGTGACAGACGCAACAATTTTTCCTCATTAATTCAAGGTTTTCTGGTAGTGGGTAAAATTAATTCACTAATACACTGAATTAACGCTACAAAATTCAAAGTATATCACAAGGTACGGAAACTTTAAACTGTATATTTTGCTTTCATCATCATTATAAGGTCGTCAGTACTAAGACTAGTTGGACACGCATCCCCACTCCTTCCTACCCTGAGCTAAACTAGAAAATCCCACATCCTTAACTATTTGCAAACAGTAATTTAATCTAGGTCTACCCTCTACTCCTCTTAATGCCTATTTTTGCCTCTAATATGTCTCTGATGAGATGCCCGAGAAGGTGTCCTACCAACCTATCTTACCTCTTTCTTATTGACTTCCATAGAGTCCTCTGTTCTCCTATTTTTTTCTAATGCCTCTTCATTTCTAACTTTCTCTATCCACGGTGTCATCATTTGCCTGTAACACTATATTTCGAACGCTTCTAATCTTTTATTTTCCGCCGCGCCCACCGCCCATGTTTCGCACCCGTACAAGGCCGCGCTCCAAACATACATCTTTAACAATATTTTTCGAATTTCTAAATTAATCGTTTGTGAGCATAGAAGTGACTTCTTTTTATTGATGGCGATTCGACCCTGTGCTATCCTCTGTTTTATATCCCTACTGCTCCTTCTGTCCTGACTTATCTGACTTCCTAGATACCTAAAATCAGTCACTTCTTCTAATTTCCCGTCTCCTATCCTTATATTCGCTCTTTCCCTACTTTTATTTTGCTTTATTTGAAAAAAAAGAGAGAATATACAATACTGTGTAATCATAATAGTCATAGCGTTTTGTATTTAGGTAACAAAACTATAACAGCAATATTTTTGGCATTTCTTGGAAAATCGATGCATTTAAATATGTTGTTAACTTACTTTCAAAATGATTTACTGACACTTTTTCATCACAGTGACCTTATACATGCTCCTACAATATTTTTGATCTATAATTCAAATAAGATTTGTCTGGTGAAATTTAATAGCACAAACAGAGGGAAGATCACTTGTGTTTACTTTTGTTTTGTTTGCAAATATTGATCGTGCAAATTCTGTTTGGTTTTAGGGATTATAAGAAAAGTTGATAACAACGGGTGCCTGGAATACGAAAGAAAACAGTGAATGTTAACTAAAAAAACATGGAAGAAAACCTAGTATAATTGTTACAGATTTAATCGAAATTTTGAATTGATTAAATTCGTGATTGATAGATAATTACATAAGTTGCAATGTACAGAATCGATTAAACGATTATTATTTCACACGCTAGTTGATAGATCGATTGATAATAACGTAAACGTTCAATTAACTGATTTTGAAATCCATCCGCTAATGCATTCGAGAAATTTATTGTAACTTGGTACTTCATTCTGAAACTTAACCTTCAGGAGATAAATTCTGTTAATAGAAACAATAGTATAAAAGGTTTTAGGTAACTGGAAACCAGGTCATCAACCCACTATAAGAATACAAAATGACTAATTTCCTTGCACTCTCCGCAACTATTGCTATATCATCAGCATACTTCAGTGCTCTTGTTCTGATTTTCTCTATCACCGATCCTCCTTCTTCCTTTCTTTCCCACTTCTCTACATTGTCGATGAAAATAGCAAACAGTATAGAGCTTACTGTAGTTCTTAAGGCTTTCACGGCCGGCGTATATCGATGCGGTGTTTTCTTCTGGACTTTTTGGCCGTGGTCCGTGGAATTTTACTTTTCCAAACGTTTCACCATTCCTTGCTGACGGCATCTTCAGTGGTGGCTGGACTGGTGCTGAGTCGTAACAGTTGCGACGATTTAAAAGTAAAATTCCACGGGTTACGGCCAAGAAGGCCGGAAGAAAATACCGCATCAGTATAGAGCTTAGAGCACATCCCCGTTTTGCCCCGATGTTAGTATCAAACTCCGCATTAACCTTGCCATTAACCTGAACATCCGTGCACGTATGTGTGTAAATTTCTTTAATATTAGCATGCATCTTTCCTCTAATTCCTACCCTTTTTTTGACGTGACAACGTCTTATAATTCGATGGAGCCGGCTGCACGCACGAAAAAACATGACTCATGCGGCGTTACCTCGCTCTGAGGCGTTCCATTTAAGGCTTGAAGTGCAAGCGAGAGCGCGGAACGAGCAACAAAGAGGCACAATCGGCCTCCGCGTTCGGCAGCATTCGATATCTGTCTCTCTCCTACTTGAGTGAGCGATGCGTCCGCGTGGACAGCTGCTATACAATAATACATTTCCATTTACCTCCTTCTCTATATCCATACAAAATATCTATCAAACAAATAAAATTAAAATTTTCTTTTGAAAAATGAAACCATTCCATCAGTATTTTCTTATGACGTTGTCACGTTCAACTATCGTCAGTTAACCGACTTTACAGACTACCGATTTTTCTAGTGAAATATTTCTATCAATTGAATCGAAGGCAGTTTTGAAATCGATGAAAACGACATATAGTTTGTGTCTCTTCACTTTCACTATCATTTATCAACGAATTAAGTACGAAACATATGGTCCTTTGTCCTTCTCTTTCTTCTAAATCCCATCTGACTTTCTCTTATCTTATTCCCGCTGTCAACCCATATAGTAAGCCTATCCGCTAAAATATTCGTTGAAACCTTATAGCCCGTGTCTAACAACGAAACTCCTATGTAATTCTGAAGGTTATCCTCGTCTCCATTCTTTAGAATAGGCACTATTCTCGCTTTGTTCCACCCAACGGGTAATTTCCTTTCTTGCCATATTTTATTTAATATATCCCTAAACATTTCACCATCTTCCTCATTCATAACTTTCACACATTCTATTCTATAGGAATTCCATCTTTCCCTGTTGCTTTTCCGTTCGACATCCCTCCCAATGCCTCAGCTATCTCTGCTATTTTGATGTCTTCGTCTATTATCATCTGAATCAACCGTTATCCCACTTTAACCCTCCCATGACCTATTTCTTATACTTATTTGTAAAATCTCCTCTTCTTGATCCCTGTTTAATAAATCCCTAAAATATTCTACCCATCTCTCATTAGGAATCTCCCTGTTACGTTATGCTTTTTGCTAGGTCTAAATTTGCTGATTGCTTTCCACCATTCAGTCACTCCTCTAGCCTTGTCTATTATCTCCAATTTTTCTTCTAATATTCTTTGTGACTCGTCTCTAATTTCGTCCCAGAGTCAGCTTTTTAGGCTTCTTTTGCAGTCTCCCATATTAATGCTTTAAAGCAATCCCCTGCCCCTTCTCCTTCTCGTATTTTTCCTGCTACCATTAATTTACTTCTAATTACTTCTTTAAGTTTTACTACCTTCTTGCGATTCCAATAATTTTTTTCCCTGATCACATCTAGTATTGTTTCATTATGTTTCTTTATTTCTCTATTGAATACTTGCCAACATCTAGTTTTATAAAAAACATGATCAGTAGATGATCCGATTCTAATCTAGGATTAACTTCTAGCTTCCCTATTATGTGTTTTAATCCTCTATCCAACATTAATACAAAGTCCAGCACAGAACCCTTACACATTTCCTTCTCTCATACCTATTTTATCAAACCATATTTTCTATTGTCCTCTCGAGTTTGTCAATTCTTTCAACTATCCTAAGAAGTTGATATGCAATACTACTCATCTCCTCTCCATACTGCACATTCTATTCATTATTTGGGACCGTATTTACCCCTTCGCTACTCTCCAACTGAGCCCCATTGCCACTGACTTCCCCGTTGTCGTTCTTCTCCTCGCAAGCTGGATTATCCACTGCTTGCGAATCACTCCTTGCTATAAATTGCAGGATGCTACCTTCATCCTTATTTTTGGCTTTAGCATTTCTAGTCGGACGTCCTAGTCTCTTCTTAACAACCTCTCTTTCTCCCCCCACAACCTCAAAACTGCACTTTTCTTAAAACTTTTATTTACATGCAACATCAACTTGAAATCACTTTTCGATTTTGAATCACTACAAATTTCCTCAAATTAATGAGGCAAATATTTTTGTTGCTTTTATCAGTCCCCGCCGGGAATCGAACCCGAGACCTTTGGCTTTACGCACCAATGCTCTGATCAACTAATCTACGAGAGATGACCGAAAATTTTCCTTTGCCTGTTCTTTGGCAAATAATTTCATGAAGAACTTGTATTATCGTTTAATATGTCGACTTACTCTTACGTCCTAAAGGCGTCAAATGCTAACCTTCACTCATGAATGTCCTTTTTCCTTCATACCTATTATTTTACATCAATATAAGCGTAATACAACGACTTTATTATCTGAACGAGTTTTAACATTATATAATGAGCGTCGTTTTCTTCAAGACCTGAAATATTTTCTTAATACTCACACTTTGGTTGATTTTGGCCCGGAGCCAGAAAAACTCCACATCAAACCCGATTCTTGCCAGATTGTTGATAAGTGGTATTTTTCGAGATTAATATATCAAAAATACGTTACAATCACCAACTGGACAGGTAGCGCAATAAGAGTTCTGTTATCGCCTTCGTGCCTTGTTTTTAATGTTTCGTCCGCGAAGGTAACACATATATATATATCAACAAAATGATACATTAATTTGAAATTTAAACGTAATATGTAGGTGGTGTATGAAATGCACAAATTGCTTTGCAGCAGGACCAAGGAGCGTACTAGAAAGAATTTCGTACCTGAATCAGAGCCGCCTACTACCAAAGATACTAATAATTTTGAAAACACTTCAAATACGGTATACCAATCAAAGAAACTGATACTTCTATTCATTTTGGAAAATACATATTAAATAGTCATGTTGTGAATATCAGTTGTCAAACATTTAGGCACGCAGTGGACTCTGGTTCATGATGGGGCCTTTTTAAGTACCCTTTATTACCTTCCTGTTACAAAGCAATTTGTGCATATCATACAGGGTTAGTCCGAAAAGTAATTGGACTGATTTCCTTCCGCCGCGACTGTACTTCGGAGTGTGCGCGCACCGACTAGATTCGGTAGAGGGCGTTCCTAGCTAACGAACGAGCGGCTGGTGATTTGTCTCCAAGCACCTGGAGAGTCAGAACAAGCTTTTTCGCGCGACGTGTTTCTGTGAGTGGTGCAAGCCGAAAATGCAGCGTTCGTTACAGCAGAGCGCGATTAAATTCTGTGTGAAACTCGGAATCTGCGACAGAGACGTTTGATATGATCAAGCAGGCTTACCCAGATGTTGCTTTAGCAAGAAGTGGTGTGTTTCGGTGGCACGAGGCCTTTTCAGAAGGCCCAGAAGAGGTCGCCGATGAAGACCGTGCTGGAAGACCTTCGACTTCGACAAACACCGACAATGTGACTCGTGTGCGTGAAGATCGTCGGCTAAGTATTCGTTTAATTGCCCAGATATTAAATTTACCAAAATCTGTGGTTCATGACATTGTGACGGAGCATTTGAACATGCGCAAGGTGTGCGCGAAGATGGTCCCAAAAGTGCTCACTGACGACCGGAAATTGCGGCGAGTGGAAAAGTGCCAAGAAAATTTAAACATGTGTGAAAGTGACCCACAATTTTTGAATAATATAATCACAGATGACGAGTCATGGATCTTTGAGTATGATCCCTAGACAAAGAGGCAATCTTCCGAGTGGCACACGCCGGCGTCTCCTCGCCCAAAAAAGGGAAGAATGAGCAAATCCAAAGTGAAAACGATGCTCATTGTCTTTTTTGACATGAAAGGTATCGTTCACCATTAATTTGTTCCTCCTGGACAAACAGTCAACGCCAAGTTTTACGTGGAAGTGCTCAAGAGACTCAAACGAAGGGTCAATCGGGTCCGAAAAGACATCGCAGCCGTATGGACGTTGCACCACGACAACACCCCGGCTCACACTGCCTTTCTTGTGGACAGCTACCTGACCAAGGCCGGTATCCCAACGCTTCCGCAGCCGCCCTACAGCTCAGATGTGCCCCCCCCGGACTTTTTTTGTTTGCTTGCCTGAAAAGGCCCATGAAAGGCAAGCATTTTGAGACGACAGAGGGGATCCAAGCAGCATGCACCGCGGCATCGACGCAGAAGGAGCCTATTTTGAAAGTTTTTAAAGAATTGTAACGATTGGCTCAATAAATTTTTTTAAATCGACTCAGTCCTATTACTTTCCGGACAAACCCTGTATACCATTAAAATAGTTGAACCTGAACTCCACGCTGATTATATGAAAAAAGGGTTTTAGCCTTTGTTATATCAACTCGATCAAAAGTCCTATAACCCTTTATATCGTCCATCTCTACTGTCAAAGGATACCGTAAGCATGAGCTTCTTGTTCTTTTCTTGCTTTTTCTGGTTTTTGTTTTGCTCTTGCTCCAAGAACAAGATAAGAAATTTGTGCAAGAACAAAACTTCCTGCCAAAAAATTAGCAAGAAACAAGATTGGCGCGGGGTTCTCTAGATTGATGGGTATCGTTGTAGATGGTGCATGGTATTTACAAGTTAATGATGACGAACCGCCACATTGTAACCGAAAGTAATCCCTTGGCGTATAGTACTTATTCTTGGTGCATACCGTTTTACATATGGCGATTACCGAAACTTTTCCGACCGTAACGTAACCTAAACTTTTGGTGTATAGCACTTATGCAAAATAATTTACAGCATTTTATCCTTGCTGCGTACCAACATAATCCTTTAAATATGCCAATTAGAGAAACATACAAATCAGCCAACTTTTCTTCTTGGCTTTACTATGCCACATCGCCATAAATTAGGGAATCATATTGGTGATCAGTAGATCATAGTTGAAATCCGCTGATATACTTACTTACCTACTTAAAAATCAGTAGACCTGGAATTCTTTCATGTTAAAATAGATACCGAAAATACTACATATGACTGACTATTTAACCACGGCCCAATACGTTGAAATTCACGGTTTACAATTAAAAATTTCCAATTAAACGACAACATCCTGAATACCGAAAGTAGGCCTAAGGCGCAGTTCCATCTTTTAATGATAATCAGGCGTTTTAATAGTGAGTCAATTTCAGAATGTCGTATCATCAGGGGAGATCCCTGCACTGATTTCCATTACAAACAACAACTTTAGAACATTGTTATTATATAAGATCTTTTACCCAAAGCCCAAAATTCACAGAGAAAATCATTTTATACATAAAAATAATATAAACAAACCTTTTGGTATTTTATCTAGACTTACCTCTTTTCTAATAGTTTAATTCTGCGAGTAATACGACGAAACACAAAGTTCAAATATAAGTGTGACAAAGATAGTAAACAGTTAAATAAATAGCAAAACACTTCGAGCGGAACTTAGCAATTGTGTGCAAAATCCTCCAAACCGTGGAAAAGTGCTTGGTAATCTTAACGCTCTACAGCGCCAGTTCATCGAATGGGGGTTACCATCGGTCCATTCTCGTGTGGTAATAACCGATATGAGTGTCAAGTGTCGAGTTATGTTGGTACTCATGTCTCTCACTTATACCGACAAGTTCGGCCATGTTGAATATTCAGTTATTTTTGACAACTGCTTTGCTTGCACGTGTTTTAGCTCGCCTTTGATTTTTGCCTATTCTAAAAAATGTATCAAAGAATCTCTACCAAATTTTGTATGAAAAACAAAATTCAGTGCGCGAACGCATTCCGAATGTTGACTGTGGCATATGGTGAAGCTACCTTGGAACGAAGCAACGTTTATCGGTGGTACAAAATCTTCTAAGAGAGCCGAGAAGATGTGAACTACGAAGAAGGTGCTGGACGTCAGAGCATGTCAACAACACACGAAAACATTGATGAAGTGAAGAAAATAGTATTGACCAATCGTCTAATCACCGTTAGAGATGTTACTGAGGATTGGCTCCTGCCATTTGATTTTTAGCACTGATTTGGGCACGAGACGGATAGCTGTGAAATTCGTACCAAAATTGCTCAATTTCAACAAAAAACAGCATTAACATTTCTAAGGAGCTGTTGGATTTTGTCCTCGACGACCTAAATTTGCCTCAGAGGGCCATAACTGGTAACGAATCATGGGTTATGACGTGGAAGCCAAAGCTCAATCATCCCAATGGAAGCTGCCGCACGAGCCAAGACTGAAAAAAGCTAGCCAAGTTAGGTCGAATTCATGAGTTCTTGCTAAAGGGTAGAACGGTCAATAAGGAATATTACTTGCATGTTATGCGCAATTTGCGCGAAGAAACGCCCAGATTTACGGAAGAACAAAATTTGGCTTTTGCACCCTGTTCGCATATAGTCGATTGTGCGCGAATTTTTGGCTAAAAACAACTCACTAATAATGCCGCAGTCACCGTATTCCTCAGATCTGCCCCCCTGTGACTTTTTATTGTTCCCGAAACTGAAGAGACCCATGAAAGGACGACGCTACGCTACGGTTGGGAAGATAATGACGGCATTGAAGGAGGAGCTGTACAAGATAACAAAAAATGATTTTTTGAAGTGCTTCGAGGATTGGAAAAAACGATGGCACAGGTGTATAATATTTGGTGGGGATTACTTTGAAAGGGACAAAATAGATATTCATTAATAAATAAATAATTTTTGAAAAACACAAAATTCGCTATACTTTTTCAATAGACCTCGTGTTTTAGTACCACGCCCGTGGAGGATGTGGTGGGGAAACCAGAGGTAACCCCCAGGTACACTATCTTCCTGCTCAGTGTATTACTTTTATCGACGGACTTATTTGTATAATTAACCGCCGTGTCGTACGCCGGAATTCTCATTCAATTTGTACAATACGGCCGCCGTAGATATAGTCACATCGACAGATCATAATAAAAATATGGTAATAGTTTTTTCTTACCTTCAAGCTGGTCCTGCATGAGTCGGCGTTTGCTGAGGTGAGACCTACACACGATTTTGAAAAGGATCTACCTAAAGATCCGCCCGGGGCGCGTGGTTTACTTCTAACTCTCACATAATGCTCTAAGGTCGATCTAGCATAAGAATGTGCAAAATCAAAATAAGAATAAAAAGCAATGCAGGAAACACCTATATCAGCCATTCTATGTTTTCACAGGCTCCAAGCACGTAAAAACATTAAACATTATTAAAACTGATTTTAACTTTACAAAAAAATCAAACAAAATTATTACTCTGGGGAAAAGTATTCGTCATAACCATTTATGTATAATTTTTAATTAATTCGCACATACTTTATCCATATATAAGTTGTACATTAACGGTAGGTATTCTACTGCAATTAAAAAGTACATCAATTAGTATACGTAGCATGATAATTATCCGAACAACAATTATAAGGCATCATGCAACAATAATTGTAACAGAGTAAATAATACAAATATGAATGTGCTGTATGTGTTGGGTGGCAGTGCGGTAAAAAGCAACAACATAAAACATAGAATACGTCATACGTGTTTCCTGGGAAAGTGTTTTATAAATAAATCAATAATCTACTATTTATACTATTATTTATAGAAGGCAATAATCAAAAAAACATATATATGTAGATTTAGGTATATGCGGAAAATTAATATTGCAGTTTCAGTCGTTGGTATGTACGTTTGTAAATGTGCCCGGTAAGACTGATACCACAGAGATATAATAAGAGTAGAATACGCCATCCCTACTTAAATGTGTTCTCTCCTGTGATGCCAAGAGTGAGAGAGAGCACAGCGTAAAGGTCCCCTTTTAATATCTTCTTCTAACAAATCGACCATGTTCAGTCAGATTAATTCCGCTGCTCGAAACTGTGCAGTACGCATGCTCGTCAAAGGACGGCAATAGGGACACTCTCTACAGTCTTCTCTCTCACTTCAGGCATTACGCTGGCAGCCCTCTCGCGGGCTATATTCTTATATATCTACGGGCGAAATAGTTGAGTTCTAATGTGTTTTAATGTCAGACAGCGATGTTTGCAATAATTTAAAATTTTATAGCGCATTTATATTAGAATCGGTAAAGGTTTAGATGATGGCCCCTACCCCCTTGGGGTGTGAGGGAATCGAAAGAGGAGGTCTTCCTTACCACTGTACCATAAAAAGTTCGTGGCGGTCTCACCCCCCTAAAAAGTTATGGGTGTTAGATGATGGCCCCCACCCTCCTTTCGGGGTGGGGGTTGGGGGGATCGAAAGAAGGTGGTCACGTGAGTAAAAGCCCATAAAAAAATTGCGACGGTCTCACCCCCATAAAAAGTTATGGGGGTTGAAAGTTGATTATTTTGACAATTNTAGAAGTGAAATAAATAGAACAGTGAATAGTAACAGTAGTGTAAATAAATAGAATAATTACCCAAGTTTAGTAATAATCTAATAGTGTTTTTAAGTTCAATAATAATTAGTGTAAATAAATAGTGTTCTTCTTAAAAGTTAATTTGTTAAACCCACGAACATTACAATATGTTCTGGGATAGATGCTTAATCAATGCTGCTTCCTGTTTCACCGGAAGTGACATTGACTTCAGTTTTTTAAATTGAACACCCTGTATATTTTTTATTTTTGAATAATTCGTTAAATTGTCTTTCAAAACCCAACAGTTCATATGCCTAAAACCAATGGTTAGTGAGATATTCGTCGAATAATGTAAATTAGGAATTATGCACTTGTGTAATAGAAACAGTAGCAGGCAGAGGAAAACAATAATTAAAACAATGTCAACAAACGTTCGCATTTTCTCCTAGTGTTTCTATACTGCCTGGTATTAATTATGGATAACAGTGGATAACAGACAGGATTCAAGCAAATTTTGAATGCAGTAAAAATAGGCTTTACATTGAGCGGATTCCATCGAGAGAAATTGGAAATCATGTTTGTTAACACGCTGTAATCTATGATTAATACAAGACCGTACAGAAACACTAGAAGAAAATGCGAACTGTTGTCATGGTTTGAATTATTGTTTTTCACTTCCTACTTAGTATAATCTATCACTATTACACAAGTGCATAGTGCCTATTTTAAAATGGTTTTAGGCATATAATACAGTTGATCTTTTTGAAAAGCACTTTAACGGGGTAATCAAAAATAATAAAATATACAGGGTCTTCTATTCAAAAAACTGAAGTTTGTTACTTCCGGTGAAACAGGAAGCAGCATCGATTGAGCATCTATCTCAAAACATAAATGACCATCAACTATGCAACTTTGTCCCATGAATTATAGCAATACCTTTAAAAATAAAGGAATTATAGCTTGGAGTGTTTTTGACGTGACAACGTCTTATAATTCGATGGAGCCGGCTGCACGCACGAAAAAACATGACTCATGCGGCGTTACCTCGCTCTGAGGCGTTCCATTTAAGGCTTGAAGTGCAAGCGAGAGCGCGGAACGAGCAACAAAGAGGCACAATCGGCCTCCGCGTTCGGCAGCATTCGATATCTGTCTCTCTCCTACTTGAGTGAGCGATGCGTCCGCGTGGACAGCTGCTATACAATAATACATTTCCATTTACCTCCTTCTCTATATCCATACAAAATATCTATCAAACAAATAAAATTAAAATTTTCTTTTGAAAAATGAAACCATTCCATCAGTATTTTCTTATGACGTTGTCACGTTCAATTATCGTCAGTAAACCGACTTTATAGACAACCGATTTTTTTATCCACCCTGTATAATAATAAATAAGTATTTTCTTCTCATCTGAAGGTACAAAGAGGGAAAAAAATAAAAATAGAGTTAGGTACACGTCAGTACTTAAGTAATTGATATTTTTTTCATAATTTTCACCAAACCATTGATGAAATCTTTTGATTACCTACTAGATAATACACAGAGGTGCAGGTTTCATCGGCTGTTATATATAGAAATCGTTGTTTCTCTGTCAAGTACCATAATTTCTAGGGCTTGCTACTTTTTTCATAAATATTTTTATTTTTTAAAGCTGGTAGCGAAACGTCGTTATTTGTTTGATAATTAATCCGTTTGGGGCCCAGATAATCAACGAGTTCCAACTACCGACACGTAGTAATTTATTGATACAGTACAAAATAAAATTTTAGTTTTGAAGTAGGATTAACAAAAGATTAAGACAAAGATAAAATAATAAAATAAAATCTAAATAGTTCATTGTGACACTGTCCACGCGACTAATAAGTTGGTATAGGAATATTTAGAAGAAGAAAAAACCTCAAACGGGCCTTGGGATGAATGTAGGGTATCTTTTTCCGAGAGTTTGTCGGTCTCGCTTTCGGCTGGGGTGGCAATTCACACTCGGGAGGGAATGCCGCATTTTTTTTACCTGGTGCGTGATATACGAGGTGTGACCGAAAGTTCTCGGACTGATGCCATAACACGAAAACATGAAGCCATACAGCGTGTTACAAATACACACCTACGATTTCTAAGATGAACGGAAAATTAGAGCAATGTGGTTGCATTAAATTTTGATCTAATCTCGGAAAAAATGCCACTGAAATGAATGAAATGATTCGGTAAGGATTTAATGAAAATGCAATGAGTCGAACACAGGTATTTGAATGGTATCCCCGATTTAAAGCCGGCAGGAAAAATAGGAAAGAATTTGCAGATGATGAATGAAGTGGGCGATTGTAGCAAGTCAGAAAACATCGAGCAAACCGACGGCAGACAATTGAAGATGTTGCCTATAAATTTGGAATCGGTTATGGAACTTGTCAGCGAATTTTGACTGAAGAATTGGGCATGTTGACTGTTGATCAGAAGCAGCAAAGAATTGACGTTTGCTCATAACTCAAGGGATTTGATTAAAACGATGAAAACTTTCTTTCTCAAGTGGTTATCGGCGACTAAAAGTGGATATGATCCAGAAATAAAACAGCAATCAAGTTAGTGGAAAAGGGTTGATTCGCCGAGACTGAAAAAGTGCAGGCAGGTGAGAAGCAACGTAAACAGCATGTTCATTGTTTTTTTCGACGTTAGGGGAATTGTATACAACGAATTTGTGCTACAAAGCCAGACCGTAAATTCGAGTTTTTACAGCGATGTTTTTCGAGGTGGTTGCGAGAGAGCATTAGGCTCAAAAGACCCGAACTTTAATGTAAAAAGGGTTAGATGTTGCACCACGACAATGCCCCACGTCACACGTCATTTGCGACACAAGAGTTTTAGCGAAAAATTCAATGGTGATCGTGTCCCCCCCCCTTACACGTTCGATTTAGCTCTATGTGCCATTGGGCTCTTCCCGAAATTAAAAATCTAGTTGGAAGGACGTCGTTTTGATACCGCAGAAGAAATTCAAAGAGAATTGAAGGCGATACTCGACTTGTTCTCAGAAAAGGACTTTCAGAAAATCTTCCAAAAGTGGAATAAACGTTGGGAAGGTGCATAAAGCAGAGGGGGACTACTTCGAAATGATGGCGATGGCGAAGTTCACAAAATAAATTTTGAATGATATATAGCGTCAATCCGGGAACTTTTGGATCGCACCTCGTAGATAATATTTTTACTTTAGAGCAGCGGTTCCCAATTAATTTTTGCTACGGAACCCTTCCTGACCCACCCTTTTTTGACGGAAGTGATTAAAGTTTTATGTCTTGACTCCTGGCACCATATTGTGTACATATTCAAATTGAATTTTGAATTCAAAATGTTTATTGCACTTATATATTTAAAGTGCATACGTTGTGCTTACAATGTGATTTAATGTCCGACAATTAAATTCGAATATCGGGAGTGGTATCCAGCCTAGTTTTGAATTTGTTTTTAGTGTAAGCGTAAATTGAAAAGCTCGTCTGTAATATGAAGTCGAAATAAACAGAAACAAAAACAAGAACCACGACTACAGGTATGCATCATCAAGTTTGATCCAAAGGTCATTCAAATTTGAATCAGCTATTTCATATTTTTGTTTCAACGAGGATGAATTCTTAATATCGATCAAATTCTTATACTCCGACATGGTTAAAAATGATGATTTAGTTTGATTTGCGAGTGGATTCTGTACTCACAAATACTGGCTATCCAGTGACCGTGTGATTCCTCTGGGAAATATTCTTTC